TTTTCTTTAGAGAGTGGCTCCCGAGATGTATGTTTCTCCATGATGTGCTGTCCTGAATCCCACAGCCTGTGTCAGAAAGCCTGCCTGCTACTGGACATGGGAGTGTGGATGCTCTCAGTGCATCGAAACAGACCACTGAGCCAAGAGTCTAGTTGAAACTTTTCATTGGGTGATGAGCAAATGCAATCAGAAATAAACTCCAAGTGCCTAGCACAAGCCCCTTCCTTTCTTTGTGGCTCAGTCTGCACCATGTCAAGGTGTTACAGAAGCTGCATTCCAGAGAGTGCCCTGCTCTATTTCCTGAGTTGATCCTTGGCTCTCTGGTGTCCACAGAGAACCCTGCTCAAACCATCATCCACCAATGGCAACTCTCCCAGGGGTCCAATGTCAGCCTCAGCTCTGCATGTAACTTCCATATTGTGTTCCGACCACCAAGGATACAATTTGTTAGGGAGAAAGGAGTGGTGAGGGGCTGCAGTAGAGAAATGACAAACACAGCTAACAAACGGGTTTTCTAGAGTGGGTCATCACTAAAAAATGAGGGTTACCTTCCATTTCACTCTCTTTGCCAGTCATGTAGTTCCCTGAGAACAGAGAGTGCCAGCCAGATGCAAAGGCAGCAGCAGGACTGGAAACAGTGAGTTTCTTCATAAAAGTAACAAAGCGCATTTCCTTTATATAGATACATGAGATGTACAAAGTAGCAAAGTCAACAAGAGCTCTGGATTTGGAATTTCTAGTAGGAGCAGAAGCTCAGATGTTTAAAAATTTGAATAATCCGTAGGACCAGAATCCCTTTGGATTTCATTCTAAAATTCACCGGTAGAATTAACAAAGAATGGTTCGTTATCAGTAACACCACCCCTCCAGCAAATACCATTTCTGAAATTCCAAGTTTACAGGTTTGGAAGGGTTGGGGAGATGGGGCCAATGTGTCTTACTATTCTCTACTTAACCCTATTTTGTTACTATGTACATTCTTAGTTTTCTTCAGAACAATGTGTTCATCTGAATTCCTGGGCATCTAACAGAATTTCTAAGCTAAAGATCCTATAATTTCAACTAATCGATTAACTAATTTTTAAAAAATCTTCTTTATCATATAATCTGAATACTAAAGACTGTAAAATCAATCCATTACTCACCTAAATATGGTTCTAACGACTATTATTTTGCCTATAATGCTTAAAGAGTATAGTATAGTGAACTATAAAAATAAATGATTATTGGCCAGGGGTGGTAGCTCATGCCTGTAATCTTACCTCAACTTTGGGAGGTCGAGGTGGGTGGATCACGAGGTCAGGAGCTCCAGACCAGCCTGACCAACATGGTGAAACCCCGTCTCTACTAAAAATACAAAAATTAGCTGGGCGTCGTGGTGGGCCCGTATAATCCCAGCTACTCGGGAGGCTGAGGCAGGAGAATCACTTGAACCCCAGAGGCGGAGGTTGCAATGAGCCAAGACTGCACCATTGCACTCCAGCCTGGGCAACAGAGCGAGACTCCATCTCAAAAAAAAAAAAAAAAAGATTCTATGATTATTCTGTGTACAGCACAGGTGTGTACAGGTGTTAGTGCACGTGAGCACATTCAAAGACCGAGCATTGGAGATGGGGCTCACATTTGAACATTTAGGACACTATTGGTGGTCTTTTGATGGTATATTCATATGTAAATAATAAAACAGCCTAGCAAGCACAAAATAAAATTATTAAATGGGAATGAGTGGATTCAGAGATTTAACAGCCAGAAAGTCTGGCAGAGCTAGATTATAAGAGAGTGTAGCAGTGAGAAAACTATTCCATTTTAGTGGCAGAAAAAAAATCCGCAGAAAACCACAGCATTAAAAATTATTTACGGATACTTTTTTCTTCCCTTGTTAATTGTAAAGTTTTCGGTTACACGTTTCCGTATCAGATGACATTATTGTTTTCACAAACTGTTATTTAGGTAACCGAAGAGGTCTCCTCCGTTACTGTTTTAGGTTACAACGAATTTTTTTTTTTTTTTTGGTTCATCTTGCTTCTTCCTAAATAGGAGTCAGATAATGACTTTCTAAAACTTGAATTTCCTGGCTCTAGATAAAGAATGTCTAAGCAGAATTTTGTCCATTGTAAATCCATTTTCACAAGCTGAATAAGTGCTGTCATTACAATGTAAATCTTATATATATATCTATTTTTGAGATGGAGTTTCGCTCTTGTTACCCAGGCTAGACTGCAATGGCACAATCTCAGCTCACCGCAACCTCCCCCTCCTGGGTTCAACCAATTCTCCTGCCTCAGCCTCCCAAAAGGCTGGGACTACAGGCGTGCACCATCACGCCCAGCTAATTTGTGTATTTTTAGTAGAGATGGGGTTTCACCATGTTGACCAGGATGGTCTCGATCCCTTGACTTTGTGTTCCACCCACCTCAGCCTTCCAAGTGCTAGGATTAGAGGCTTGAACCACCGCCCTGGCCATAAATCTTAATTTTTCTAAATGTCAAGTTTGTCACACATTTTCCATCCCTCTTCATGTAAATATCTCTTAGGTATTTTCCTACTAAATATATAAACTAATTTGTGTTTCTTTGCCTATGAATCATAGAATTGTATACCTTAAATGGCTTAGAAAATAAGACTTGCGTTTCTTCTAGAAGTCCTTTATAATTTCTTAATCCTTTTAAATCTTTTTCATGAAACTAAAGTGCTATGAAGGTAAAACTTGGCTTATGAAAACTTCTAGGTAATATGCATCTTCAAAATAACTTATGAAGAAGTGGCTTTATTTTGTTACAGGAATAAATATGTCAAAAATGCTTTTGTCTAGGTCTTAAGACAAGTTTACACACTTTTGAATATTAAGATTTTTAACTCAACACAAAATATGAAGTATCCTGTCTTTTTACCTGGAATGCTTAACAAAGTCTTAATTACTATTATAACTGATTTAAAATCTTATTGAGAATCTATTATGTGTGATGTAGGTAACTAACTCAGGCACTGTGATAAGAACTTCAACAGCTGCCAACATGTGGCAATCTGAAATTAGATCCCTCATTTCTTTTAAACCAGTGTAGTTATATATCTCTAATATTCTTTCTAAAGTAGGAGTCTGTTAGGTTCTTTGGCCTCCGCAAAAAAAATACACGAAGGACTTCCTTTGGTAGAGAGTAACTAATCCAGGAACATAGTTTCTATGATGAAATGCAACTTCCCCAAACAAAAGACCTTCATTTAAAAAAAATGACACAGTAACTCATAGTCGCTATATTCCAGTAGCTAAAGCTAAAGGCTGAACAAAGATCCTCAGAATACATCCTTGGGATCTACAGTATTTCATTGTCTTGGAAGCTGATCTCTCTAAATATTTTAGTCTGGGTGCTCAAGTATGCAGTGACAGGTCTTCGGCTTAATAAATTTCAATACCAGCCAGGTGTGGTGACTCATGCCTGTAATCCCAGCACTTTGGGAGGCTCAGGTGGGTGGGTCACCTGAGGCCAGAAGTTCGAGACCAGCCTGACCAACATGGAGAAACCCCGTCTCTACTAAAAATACAAAATTAGCCAGATGTGGTGGCAGCATGCCTGTCATCCCAGCTGCTTGGGAGGCTGAGGTAGGAGCGTGGCTGGAACTCCTGAACCTGGGAGGCAGAGGTTGTGATGAGCCAAGACTGCGCCATTGCACTCAGTCCCGCCTGGGCAACAAGAGCGAAACTCCGCCTCAAAAAATAAAAATAAATAAATAAATTTCAATACCACAGGGATCTGCTTCAGATGTGTTACTGCCACTTAGAGACGAGCCAGGTGCGCCCCTCTGTCCCAGAGGGAAACAAATAGGCGTGTTTCGCACATGTCCGTCTTCTCCTTTCAGAATGAATCTGCCTGACCTTAGATTCTCATCCCTTCTCAGTTCACCTGGGAAGCTATTGGTTGTTTGAACTGAAAAATATCCTTAAGATCCACTTAGACACTTACCCCAAAGCTTTAAGCAGGACAGTTAAGTAAATTACATTTTTAAAAATGGTCATCACACTTTTAAAATATAAATCTGGGAATAAACACATATTCTTTTCCGGCATCTGACTTTCTGATTTCGTACCTTTTTTAATTTCTCCAAACGGGAGCGGCTCTTATGTTGAGTGGATCCTTTTACACAGTGGTTTGTCTAATGGCTGATCTTTATAATGCAGGGTTCTCACACACGCCTGTGTCCTAGTGTGTGCTATACTTACAGAACTAAGCATTCTAGTTCTATTCCGTGTACATTGCAGTTGTACGCCTGTGCCCTGTGCTGAGACGCTTCGATAGGTTAGTGGTGCTTCTGCTGCTCTGTGATTCTAATCTCAGCAACAAAAGCAATCACTAACAATCCTTGGTCTCAGATATGATTACAGAAAACCCGCGAAAAGATGTACTATGAAAGGCAGGTGAGAAACCTGTAAGAGGGGTCCTGAAGTGAAGCATCCATGGAATTCTGACCAGGACACCCATTCAGTTTGTTTTTGAAAAGAACGTAAGAAACAAAAGAACACCAGGCTTCCTGCTTTGGTAGAACCTGTGGAAATGTAAGAATCTTAGGCCAGGTGTGGTGGCTCATCCCTGTAATCCCAGCGTGTTGGGAGGTTGAACAGGAGAATCTCTTGTGGCCAGGAATTCAAGATCAGCCTGGGCAACATAGCGATACCCTGTCTCTACAGAAAAATATGTAAAACTTAGCTGGGCATGGTGGCATGTGCCTGTTCTCCCAGCTACTTAAGAGGCTTAGGCGGGAGGACTGCTTGAGCCCAGGAGTTCAAGGCTGCAGTGAGCTGTGATGGCACCACTGTGTTCCAGCCTGGGCAACAGAGTGGATCTTGTCTCCAAAAAAAAAAAAAAGAAGAATCATATACCATGATATTTCTCCGATGAGCCTTGACCTCCACAGGATGCTAAGAATACTCAAACCCTATCACACAGAGAGGCAAAAGGAAGGTATTCTCCTGTGTTCAGGGTGGTTAGCATGGGCTGGATGCTTACCTGGATCGGGCCTCAGGGGGTAGCTGTGGGTCACCAAAGGAGGGGCTCCGGGAGGCTGCCTGCTGCAGGGAGGAGCTGTGCGCGTGCTTTGGAGACCGTGGCACTTCCGTGAAGGAGGATTCTCGCCCAGAGAAAGAGAAGGTCAAGGAACTCTCGGCGGCTGGGGGCAGGTCGTGGTCCTGCCGGGTGGCACTCAGCTCTTGATCTTGTCTTTGGTTTTCTATGTTCAGCAGCACCTCCTGGTCGGAAGCGCTGTCACCCCCGTGGAGGGTATAGTCCTTGGATTCACCTGCACAGGTCCTGAGCCCCATCGTCTCTGTCCCGGGGTATGGAGAACTCACATCCCTGCTTGACTCCTCCTGTCTTTCACTCTTTCCTCCCCGCTTCTCGACAGCATCAGGCTCCTTCCTGGACTTGGGATAGCGGGATACATACTCTGAGTCGGCTTCGGGATCCAGAGTCAGTCCGTATTTCTCTGCCAGCTGTCGTCTTCTTTCTGCTTTGTACCTTGCGATTCTTTCCGCTTTGGACTCCAGACTGTGGGTGTCCATGGTACTGGAACCATAGGGTGAGTCACTGTGGACGCCGGAGGTTTCTGTGCAGTATTTAGATCGAGCTTGCTTTTCTAGAGGAGAATCAGAAGTTTCTTCCTCTTCATTTGATCGGCCTACAAGGAGGTCACATGGACAAAAGGTACAGATTTCAAGTAGACACGTATTTACACACAGAGAGACACACTCTACTGTACACAGCACACACCTGGGTGCCCATGCTGGGAAGAACCAGTTTCTCACCAAGGTGTCTTCACCTAAAGTGACTGACCTGGGCTGCTGAAGAAGTCTGAGATCGGAAGTGAAATCTACAAAGGCTGTGAATGGTGCACATTCTGCAACCCAAGGCCTGGCTTTAACTTCAGCGCACTCCCTCACTCCCGAGAGCGTCTCAGTCCTTGTTCACTGATTATTTCCCCTTACCGATTTACCCTTTTTTGTGGAGTTTAGGATTTCACAGGGGGAGGCCACAGGATAAATTCAGAGTCCTCTGGGAAAGACAGCAGACAACTGAGCTGCTGTCATTGAACAAGTGATGGATACTGGTTTCCCGGGATCTGAGAGCAACCATAACAATATGGCCCATACCAATATTCACCAGGCTTTTCTTTTTTACAGAGTTTTGCTCTGTCACCCAGGCTGAAGTACAGTGGCATGATCTCAGCTCACTGCAACCTCTGCCTCCTGGGTTCAAGCAGGAGAATTTCTCCTGCCTCAGCCTCCCAAGTAGCTGGAACTACAGGTGTGTGCCACCACGCCTAGCTAATTTTTGTATTTTTAGTAGAAATGGGGTTTCACCATATTGGCCAGGCTGGTCTTGAACTCCTGACCTTGTGATCTGCCCACCCCGGCCTCCCAAAGTGCTGGGATTACAGGTGTGAGCCTCCAAGCCTGGCTGAAGACATCATTTTTAAGGGTCTTAACAGTCTAACAGGCATTCCATTATTACCTTAACCCTTCCTGTACAGACTTTTCCGTTGTACCTGAATTAAATATTCATATATCTTTTCTATTATTTTCTTTAAATTAAACAGGTGGGTGACTGGAACTAATTTTAGAGGGTGGTATGAAATGAGAAGAGGAATATGCCTCTCCCCACCCTCTGATGAACCCATGTTTTTCATTACAAGTTTATTAAATAATGACTCCTTTTCTCACTACTATGTGATGTTTAAACTATCATTTACTACACAGATTACCATTTCATATACATTAGGGTTTATTTCTGGCTATATATTTTGGGACTCTGATCTATGTATTGATATTTCATGCATGTAATTACTTTTTAAGAGATGGAGTCTAGCTGTCCAGGCTAATCTTGCACTCCTGAGCTCAAGCTATCCTCCTGCCTCAACCTCCCAAAGTGCTGGGACTGGTGGTGTAAGCCACCATGCCCAGCCTTTTTAAAAATAACTGCATGTGATTTTAAAATATCCCAGTTTTCTAGCTTTCTGGTCACCAGAGATTGGAAACTGTAGAAATAAGCAAACTGATAACATCATAAAGTGGGATCAACAGCTCTCTCTGAACAAGAAACTAGAAAACACCAGTTGTAAAAAACAGCAGCATGACTGGGTGCTGTGGCTCATGCCTGTAATCCTAGCATTTTGGGAGGCTGGTGGATCCCTGGAGGTCAGGAGTTCGAGACCAGCCTGGCCAACATGGTGAAACCTCACCTCTATTAAAAATACAAAAAAAGTAGCTGAGTGTGGTGGCATGCGCCTGTAATCCTAGCTACTCAGTAGGCTGAGGCAGGAGAATTGCTTGAACCCAGGAGGCAGAGGCTGCAGTGAGCCAAGATCACGCCATTGCACTCCAGTGTGGGCAACAAGAGTGAAACTCCATCTCAAAAATAAATAAAATAAAAAAAATAATTAAATAAAAAGCAGCAGCACAGAGCGTCAGAAGCCAGGGACTATGGTGGGAAGAATGGCCCTGTGTACATTCTCCGCTCCTAAGGTCAAATGGAATATTTGATAATGACAATGACTGAGTGATGAGGGAAAAGCTGAATCATGCGCACTCAACAGACTGTTTAAGATGGAATAAATATGCAACGTACTTAAAATTACCTGCATTAAAATAACTTAAATAGAATGTTTTGTTGCATCTCCAGAGTCAGAACTGTCATCATGCAAGGTGCAGCTTTGCCTCTAACGCTCCCTGCTGAGAGCAGCTGCTCTCTGTGCTGGGTGAGGACAGTGAGAGGCCCCTGTCTCAGAGCAGGGATCCTGTGCTGGGCCCTGACAGTGCAGAAAGCCACAGTGACTACCGGTGAGGGTCCCAGTCTAGGGAGGAAAATGACTGGTCCTCAGTTACCCAATGATGTGCGAGAGGAATCATTTCATACAGCTGTGACACTGGAAGGCCTCATCCGTGAGGCGGGGCAGAGATGACATACATGTTGTTGCTGTGTTTAACAAATACATTTGATAGCTGGGGATGGTGGCACATGTTGGTAGTTCCAGCTACTTGGGAGACTGGGGTGGGAGAATCATTTGAGCCTGGGAGGTTGAGGTTTCAGTGAGCTGTGATCAGGCTGCTGCACTCCAGTTTAGGTGACAGAGTGAGACTCTGTCTCTAAAAAATAAACTGAAATGAAAATAAACAAAAAACAAATACATTTAACAAAAAATTAGGCCAAGTCAATTGGCTCACACCTGTATTTTCAGCATGTTGGAAGACCAAGGTGAGACAATCACTAAAAGCCAGAAGTTAGAGACTAGCCTGGGCAACATAGTGAGACTTTGTCTCTACAAAAAAGTTTTTAAAAATTAGCCAGGTATGGTAGTGTAAGCCTGTAGTCCCAGCTACTCAGGAGGCTGGGGCTGGAGAACGCCTGAGCTTGAGTCCAGGAGTCAAGGCTGCAGTGAGCTGTGATCACACTCCTACATTCCAGCCTGTATGACAGAGTGGAACCTTGTGTTACAAAAAATAATATCAACACAGTTCACTTTTGTGGAATATCTCATGTCTTGACACCACTGGGTGGAAAAGGCAACGTGTAACAAGCCAGGCAGCATGCTGGAAAATGGGCCACCCAGCTCCCCGCTCACCGATGTGGGGGCTGGCAGGGTCGCTGGCTCGCATGTATCGAGGGGTGTCTTCCTCCAGCAGGCGGTGAGTTACTAACCCTGTGCAGCTCTGCAAGAGGATGGGCTGGGTGTCATTTTCAATTCCTTCCAGGCGCCTGGCAATTCTTTCTTTTCTGTGAAATACACCAAAAGAGGCAGAGTGAACAACAGCGATGGAGTCCAAAGGAAAATGAAATACTGCTTTGCCAAGCTCTCTTCTACTTCCTAACGCCATACTATAAAGATCTTACCTTTTCATTTCTAAGAATTCTTTTTTCTTTGGTTCAAAGATTTGTCTTAATTCTGCAACTAAAAGAAAACCAAAAAAGAACAAATTGTAGTATTTAGTAGTCTGGCACTCATTTTATTCACCACGCAACATGTTTATTGAACAGAAAATTTCAGTTCTTGGTTCCTATGTAACAGGGATATGCAAAACTGACCAAGTTCCTGCTTTCATGGAGACTGTTTTCTGGTAGGAGAGGCAGATGTCAAATGAGTAAGAGTGTGCACGTGCACGCACACGCACGCGTGTGCACGCGCGCACACACACACACACACACACACACGGATGTATCATCCTCCTCTACGGTCAAGTTGAATATTTGATGCCCATAAAAATGACTGAGTTACTAAGGCAAAGCTAAGTCATGCTCATTCAGCATGCTGTTTAATATGAAGTAAATATGTAATATATTTAAAATTACATACATTAAAATAATTTAAATAGAATGTTTCATTGTATATACATTGCAACATCTGTGTATGTGACTCATGTAAATGTCACATATATAGGTTGGTAAAGAAGTAGAATTATACAGGGTAAGGGAGAAAGTTCTTTCATCTAGGGGAATCAAGGGAGAACTGACTAGCAAGATCTTTCTAGGAAAGTATTTTAGGCAGAAATCTCAATAACTGTTTCTAACTTCGTTTGGTTTAACAAAGTATTCTAAGCCTCTATTATGGAAATCATTTACAGAAATAGAGACTAGAACCGTGAACCCCACAGGGCCATCAGCAAGCTACAAGCATGAACTCATGGCCACTCCTCCACCACCCTCTCTGGGAATCTGTAAATGGCTGTAATTATCTGATTTTGTTTCCAGCAGAGCCTAAAGTGGCCACTTCAATTAGCTACACTTTAGATAAACACAGGTCCTCCGCCTCCCTGCACAGGCTTTCACTGGAAGGAAATGTTAACAATGTTGCCTTGCTATAATTGAGGTAGATGAGGGGTAAGGCAGTTACCCCAATGTTTCTGGCAGCATTGGAGAAAGAGAACAAAGGTTGTGCTGAGGTTGGGAGGTTCTCACATGATACTGACTACAAGGATATCACTGAGATGCCAGACAACTGTTTCTTTGGAGAAATGGCCACAGTTCATGGAGAATAAAAGTCTCTCTTTTTGCCTCCTCCTCAATAGCTTAAATTCATAAGGGCTCATCTGAGTGAGTCCTATGAAGGACTCAGAATGGGGTGGGAGTAAGTGAGGCGGGTGGCTAGGCAGCCCCGGGGCCAGGGCCAATGAAAAGTTTTGAAAGGCTGAGTCAAAGGAGAAACTCAAAGGAATTTGATTTTCAAGTGCTTCAATTTCCGTTTTCTTTTCTCAAAGTGGTAATTTTTAGTAATGAGTCAAAACTACACACATCCACGTGCGCGTGCACACACAAATACATGCATACACACACACACACACACATAGCTTTACTGCCCTTTGTGTTCAGAGATAGAAGCCTTGTTTTTTCTTTGTTGACTTTTAAGTGATAGCCACCTTAAAACTTTAGTTGAACTTGTTAAGGTAGCTGGCTTCAAAAAAGCAAAACCTCTCTCCCTCTGACTTCAAAAAGATCTCTCCGTTGGCCTCCCCAGGAACCAGAGTAGCTGGAGGCAGAAAAGTCCTCATTCTAATTATGCTCTTATTTAGAAGAGAGGGGTATAATGAGAAAGGTGCACCTGCCACACAGTCTTGTGAGAGGAGGCTTGACCAGTAACGACAGCTTCCCTATAAACAAATTAGCCCTGGTGAGATTATGGTGATAAAACTTTAATAGCTGGTAGGGCATATTTTGAAAATATTTTCAAGGATGAGAAAAACAAAGGTTTTTAATTAGTTATTTAAACCCCAAAGAGGAGAGTGGAGCCGTATTTTTCAAATGACCACTCAAGAAGGTATCAAAACCAAATTCCAAGGGTACCTAAAAGGTATGGCTTGAACCCATGCCTCAAACACATAACTGAAAAATAGAAAATATTAATAGCATCCTGAGTGGCATAATCACCTCTCCCCTCCCCTTCCTGTCTTTTCCTCTCCTTTCCTCTCCTTTTCTTTCTACACCCCTCTTCGTTTTTTAGGCAGGGTCTCATTCTCTCACCCAGGCTGGCGTATAGAGGCACGATCTTGACTCACTACAGCCTTAACCTCCAGACTCAAGTGATCCTCCCAACTCAGCCTCATGAGTAGCTGGGATTAGGGGCACGTGCCACCACACCTGGCTAGCTTTTTGTATTTTATGTACTCCAGGATGGTCTTGAACTCCTGGGCTCAAGGGATCTACCCACCTCAGCCTCCCAAAGTGCTGGATGGCAGGCGTGAGCCACCATGCCTGGCCTGACACTCCCTTCTTCTCCCCCAACATTATTTCAACTGGGTAAATATCAAAGCCATTAATATAGAGAGTGTCATGGACCTTCCATTGGAAAAAGTGAAGACAGGCTTTTTTTTGGTTCTAATCAGAGACTGTTGAAAGTCACTTTCATTTCATCCAAATTTTAATTAATTTTACAATTTTTCTATAGAAATGCAACTAAAGGGATTTTTCAGAAAGATTACCACAGTATATGGAAAAAGCAAAGCAACGTGTTGCTTCCTGCTATTCTCTATTTCCCCTGTTCCAGAAGAAGAGATCTAATTGGGAGAGTGTGCTAGCTCCCCACACACAGAAAAAGTAGGCTTTCCTACTGCCCACCAAGGAACACTGCCCTCTGATAGCCATCCGCTTCTGCACATAAGACGAGAAATTCTCAGGATAGGATGTAGCAGGCACGCAGACGCACCTCGTCAGGGTCATGGGCTCAGGAAGCTTGCTTTGGAGAGCTCACAGATCACTATGGGGGCACTAATGGCTTCTGAGTGGGAAGTGGCTTTGTTGCGAACTCTGCGCCACAGATTTTGAATGTCCCAGGTTCTTCTAGAAATGCTAAATCACCCCCAATTGTTGTAACACAAAAATGTCACATATTTCTAAAGCCCCTTAGGGACTGTCCTAGATTGAGAACCACTGAGAATCACTGATTCCCCTGGTCCTAGAATTTCAAATACACAGCCTGTGCCTTAGACACTCAGGCCCTCGGTTACACAGTACAGACGCCACTAGTCCAGCACTGCACCCTCTTCAGTCAAGCCCAGATTCAACGCGAAGCTATGCCAAGTCTACTGCTCCTGGAAACTAGAATCCGTCAACATAGGGTCCTCTCTGATCGTTTCACTGAGGAATTAAACGAGGTCATAAAATAAAACTATACTTTCAATATACTGATGAGCTTACTAATTCTTAGTGAAAACCTATGGTGAATTTTTAAAGGAAAATAAAGAAATCTCTCCAGCAAACAATTAATGACCTCTCAGTCTATTCGTCCTAGCAAATATATTTTCAATTACCAAGATATGTCTCATTCCTACAAAAATGGGATTATAAGAAATGACGCACAAGACAAAGAGAAGCAACAGAGAGACATTTTGAGTTTTGTCTCTTTTCCCCAAGTCTATACAAACATGTAATATAATTCATGTGTAATTAATGTGTATTATATTACATATTTGCTTTATATTATTATTAATAATAGCCAAGCATCATGGCTTATGACTGTAATCCCAGCATTTTAGGAGGCTGAGGCAGGTGGATTGCTTGAGGTCAGGAGTTTGAGACCAACCTGGCCAACATGATGAAATCCCATCTCTACTAAAAATACAAAAAAATTAGCCTGGCGTAGTGGGCATGCGTGTGTAATCACAGCTACTCGGGAGGCTGAGGCAGGAGAATTGCTTGAACCCAGGAGACAGAGGTTGCAGTGAGACAAGATGATGCCACTGCACTCCAGCTTGGGTGACAGAGCATCATTCTGTCTCAAAAAAAAAAAAAAAAAAAGAAATATATATATATATATATATATATATATATATAACATGGTTTATATTATACATTTTATATTATATTGTTACATAAACCATGTTTTATTTTATATTACTATCAATCATATAAACATGTTTTTGTATTATTAGCGTAAAGCCAATACTAAAAACATCATGGATAAAAGTCACTGTTGCTGTGGGAATCTATGTTGTAACTCTGTTGTTTTATTTATAAAGCCTGCCTACAGTTCTGCCGAAGTTACCTTCTGATTGATAATCTTAAAGGTTCCTGTTCTTTCAAAACTTCATAAAAGTTTTGTGTAATTCCAGACTTACAGAAAATTTAAAAGATATTCTGTGGCCAGGTGTGGTGACTCACACCTGTAATCCCAGCACTTTGGGAGGCCGAGGGGGATGGATCACAATGTCAACAGATGGAGACCATCCTCGCTAACACAGTGAAACCCTGTCTCTACTAAAAATACAAAAAGTTATCTGGGCGTGGTGGCGGGTGCCTATAGTTCCAGCTACTTGGGAGGCTGAGTAGCTGGGACTACAGGTGCGCACCACCACGCCCGGCTAACTTTTGTATTTTTAGTAGAGATGGGGGTTTCACCATGTCGGCCAGGGTGGTCTCAATTTCCTGACCTCATGATCTGCCCACCTTGGCCTCCCAAAGTGCTGGGATTACAGGCGTGAGCTACCATGCCCGGCCAGGAGTTTTGAACATATCCACCTGTCCCTTATTTTACCTGCTATCTTGGTCTGTTACTCTTCTGTGAGTAATTCAGAGTGGTACTACTGTGGCAATATGGCCTCTACGAGTGTATTTCTTTAGTTATTTCCGATAGGAGCTGGAGGTTAGTTTTCAAATAAGGCTATTTAAGGAAATTTGATAGCAAAACTATAATACTTTATAAGTTATTTACAACTGCCTAATATGTTTTGCAATAATGATATATAACATCAATATTCTGAACAATTTGGTCTGTGGGGTGCTTTTCTTGGGACACATAGTTTCTTCCATTAGCTCTAAGAAACAAGATTTCTGGTTTGGACATTGTTGAGTTCAGTCCTCCAAACCTGAGTACAGTAGAATATTCCAAAGAAATATTAGTGGCAGGGGTACTGCCAAGAACACTTCTCTCCTCCTTCACGTGACAGCCAGAGAGAGCCCAGGCCAGATCTGGAATATTCTGAGCTTACTTCCCACAAGAGTAAAGCCCTTTAACTTTACATTTGGATGGTGGCCACTAATATAAAGACAAACAGCTCATACATCAAGCAATTACAAACTAGAGGAATAGGGGAGGGGTGATAGTTTCAAGGTGCAGGGTTTCTTTCTGGAATAATGAAAATGTTCTAAAACTGGCTGTATCGATGGATGCAGAAGTCTGTGAATTGCTGAAACTGACAGAATCTCATACCTTAAATGAAAGGATTGCATGGTAGGTGTGTTGTATCTTAATAAAGCTGCTAAAGAAAGTGGAGTCATATGTTTGGTCCATTTCATAATTCCAAAATAAAAAAATCTATTTTAATATTATAAATGTTACATAAGTAAACATTTTTATTTTTTGTTTTTATTTTTTATTTTTTGATATGGAGTCTCGCTCAGCCACCCAAGCTGGAGTACAGTGTTGTAATCTTGGCTCACTGCAACCACCATCCTCTGGGTTCAAGCAATTTTCCCGTCTCAGCCTCCCGAGTAGCTGGGATTACAGGCACCCACCATCATGCTCAGCTCATTTTTGTATTTTTAGTAGAGACGGGGTTTTATCATGTTGGCCAGACTGGTCTTGAATTCCTGACCTCAGGTGATCCGCCTGCCTTGGCCTCCCAAAGTGCTAGGATTACATGTATGAGCCACCACGCATAGCCTAGGTAAACATTTTTAATTCCTTGATTACTTGTTTGTGATACACACTTACAGGACGTCTCTTAGAGAAAAAGTAACAACCACTTTAATGCCCAGTTTCACAGGAAATGAACAGAAAGAAACTTCTATAAACTTATGACATATGAAACTTGATGTCGTTAAAATAAAATTATAACTAAATCATGTTTAAACATAATACTGCTAAGAGCTGACACACCAAATCATTAACATATCTGTTAAATCAGAGGAAAAAAAGAGATCACTGGTCTTTCCAAATCTGCCTGCTTTTTCTTTTTTTTTTTTTTTTTTCATAAAAAGCAAAGGTATGTGAAATAAGACTGTAGAGAATTTAGGTGAAATTCAGGGGCAGTACGGCACTGTCATTTTTAAAGCATACTTTAAAGATTTAAGGGATCATGTTGATTTAGAAACATCAATCTGGTTAATACATAATCATCTTTGATTTGTAAAAATTATTTTTTATAATCATTTATGATATATTTTTAAATACAACTAGCTAACAAGCTTAAATGTTCTAAAAGTTTATCACAGATGAAGTTACCATTGGTTGAACCTTAAGGAACCTAGCATTTCATACTGTTTTTTATTTTTCTGCTCATAATATTGTCGGTGGTATTATGCATCAAATAAAGGAACCGGGACAGAGAACGGGAAAGAGGGACCCTTCTGACTGGTGGTAACAGCCTGCCATGTAGAACTTTGCCTAATCAGCTCTTCTCTGCTATTGCTAATATCGATTTGTTCATTCTTATACGTTGTTTTGATGATCTGCATAGGTTTTAAGAACTTTGTCTCAGATTAAATCAGTTTTTTTGTCTTTCACAGAGAGTGCTAAACATTGGCAGAGCCGTTCCATTTGACAGCCATTCTGGCCCCGTCTGCATCCATCCTACCCAGACAGGAGGCCACTGCATTGCCCTTGGGAAACCCCCGGGGAGAGCTGATGGGAGCACAGTGTGGCCACTTCATTTCCAGGTACCATGAACGATTAATTTTCTTTTTGAAATGAAATATAATCTGCCTCCTTGTAATTCTACACATTATTCTTACTTTTGGCCTCTGGAGCCACATAGAATAAACCTGTATTTCAGCTGACAGTGTTATAAGTACTTGAAAATTGCAGCAAGTCTGGGTTTTCTTCACCAGGCCAAATCCCTGGGGTCCTTCAGACATCCATCCTCATCAGAATATGTCTCAGTCCATCATCAGTTCAATTCCTCAGGATAGAGTCCAATTCATCGGCAGGTCTTATAAAATGGATTTACTTTCTATTAAAAGAAGATGCATTTGATCTGATTTCTTTTGGGCATGATCTTTTGCTTTTTCTTTCAGAGTAGAAAAAATTCTGCCCTTCCATCAAATCGGCTTCTTCCACAGGAAGGTTTCCGCAGCACACTCAGGATGAAGACATTTTGCGAGCTGGGACTAATGATCATTCCTTGTGCTAGTGTTCCAGTCACAAAGACCAAGCAATGTTTACATCATTTCACAGGTAAAACTAGGGCGAACTGGCTTCTAGTTGGTGCAGACATTTTACTGCATGTGCGCCTTGACCAGTGGAAATAGTAATTCACCAAACACGTGTGAGTGCTACTTGGGGAAGAAGAAAGATGGTCATGATGTGGTCTTCACGGGCTGTCTGCAGCCCAGCATGGAGGTACGAGATGTTAAACGTAAAAGGCCTGGCCTGGTGGGGTAATCCCAACACTTTGGGAGGATCACCTGAGGCCAGGAGTTTGAGACCAGCCTGGCTAACCTTGCGAAAACCCTGCCTCTACTAAAAATTAAAGAAGAATTACCTGGATGTGGTGGCATGCACCTGTAATCCCAGCTACTTGGGAGGCTGAGGCTGGAGAATCTCTAGAACCTGAGAGGCGGAGGTTGCAGTGAGCCAAGAATGTGCCGCTGTACTCCAGCCTGGGTGGCTGAGCGAGACTCTGTCTCAAAAATAAAAAAGCCCTAACTCTGGGAAGCATCAAGAGGCCTGGGGCAGCCTCTGGAGGCAGCAGGTGTGGGTGGGCAGAGAAGAGATGCGGGGGGCCTCCAGTAAACACCTGAGGATGCCTACAATGAAAAGGCAAGAAGAAGTAGAAGGAGAGGATTAAAAAAGCATCAGAGAGACGTAAGGGAACTGAAGCTCATCCTTGGAGGAGGCAGGCAGGGCCACAAAGGAGACTGTGAGCTGGAGGTGAGGGAGAGATCTGCTCGAGGACATGCAGACAACACAGTACTCCTCCACCCAGACACGCTGGTCACTGAGGAGCAGCCTTACCTTTCGGAAGCGCAGCTGAAAGCTTAGCATCAATTCCTCTTTTGTGGTTAGGAAGCTGTTCTTGATCTTCGAGTGACAACTCTTTCTGAAAGCTAAAAATTACTCCATTAATAAAGTCCATTTAAATCAAGATACGTAAAACAGAACATAAAAATTATATTGCTACACATCATTAAATATGAACACATAGATCACAAGTCAAACATTTTATTTTGGGGAGAAAATTGGTAGCTCTTTCATTTACTTATATTTACGTAAATACTGTGATTTTTTGTGCATCTAAGTAATTACAGCAGGATTAGTGGGTAGTGTGGTGTGGTGTGGTGTGTGAGGGTGAAAACATTGCTGAACTGGAAGTCATATGCTTTCGCTTGCACTGAACACCTCTTCTCGACCCAGGAATAGCTTTGCAAGCTTGGATTAATTACTCAACCTCTCTGTGCCATAATTTCTTCTTCAGAAAATCAGTAACTTGTCTAGGTGATCAACATGCTGTCCTCCAGTATCAAAATTACATTAAAGTAACAGATGCCTTCAAACGACCAACATATTAAAGTTTGGAAAACCTCATGAAGCCTTGTGTTGGAATAAAAGAGGAAATGAAAGCGGAGAATAATAAAGGAAGTAAGCCCTTCCTGTGGACTTCCCCAGGGTAAGCACAGCCCGGTATCTCCCGAATTATCTCCCCAAGACCCTAAGAGGTGTGAAGCACTCAGTGGTATGCTGATAAAGGTGCAAATGGCCCTGCCCTCTTGTCCCGCCCACCCAGCCCCACCCACCCACGCCCCCCACCTGGCCCTGAGAAAAGCACCTGCTTTGTAGTATTGGCGGGTGGTGTCAACACTCTCACCACGGCGGCTCCCACAGGACTCACTGAACTCAAAGTCGGGAGACAGGCACACACGTCTGGCCCCAGCACAACACCAGAACTACCATCATCCTCAGTTTACCGATCCGGGAATTGTTACATGATTTTCCCAAAAACTCACATTTGACAAGAAGAAGAGATGAGATTCAAATCCATCTCCTAGTTTAATACCAGCCACAGCCACCCCGAGACTGCTGTGTACACAAGTCCATGGTCTTGGATGTGCCTGGAGTGGGCAGGGCAGAGGGTGCTGGTGCCTGGGAGGAAGCAAACCCATGGAAACAGCGAACTGCGGTTCCTTAAGGTCAGTGTGACCTCAGAGGGTGAAAGACAGGCTTGGAAAAGACTCACTGTGTGGCCGACCCTCCCCTGTACGGGCGCATTTCCATACAGGCCAAGGGAGAGACGGAGGAAGCTGTGGACACTGTGTAAGTGGGACGCGTGAATCACCCAGACCCCACGTATAAACAACACCGAAGGAACTTCTACACTGTCCAAAACACGACCTGCCACTCTGCCCTCCTAGAACCAAGTCCATCTGAAATCTTCGTTTTTCCACGTACAATGGAGTAAAGCTTATATTCCCTAAGTATGTGTGTCATGTGTTCACATTATTTAATAAAAAGTCCTGAGGAGAATTAGGCTTTCTCAGCCACGCTCTGGAATGGTTGGAAGACCCGGGGACACCTGCCTAGTCAGAAACTTAGAGTGAGCCCCGACTTCTAAACACTGAGTTGTAAGGCGGTAAGGACCTCTGTCAGTGTTTTATTGACATGCAGGATTTAGCAGAAAGCTAAAAAAATTAATGGCAGAAATGTACCTGACTTGAGGAATGGCATGTTATTTTAATTGATTATTTAATTGCTAATTTAAATATCTTGGCAAAGCTCTGTACTTGCTTTGGGAAACTATTTTCAAGAAAAAAAAAATCTGCATTACAGTGAAATAATGCAATCCCTAAAATATTCAGCTTCTCAGACCACCGACCTTGGGGTACAAATGCTATCTTGTATTTTCAAAAATAAACATCTGTGTGTCTTTATTTCCTTCTTTCTTTCCGTTTCTCAGAAAGCTCAATGGAGCCACTAATGAAAAGCAAGAAACTGTCCCTGAGTCCGACACTCCACTGGAGTCTACAGAGTGAGCTTTATGAGTCATCTCCCCGACACTCCCCAGATGCACAGGCACTTATTTTCTCCAAACACACTACACACAGAGCCAGCACCCACGTGAAGTGCAGCCTTTTGACGGCAGGTCAGAAACCAATGGAAACCAAAGCTCTAAGAGGACAGTCTCTGATGCTTCCCAGCGTGGTTCACTCGACACGCTGTTTCCACTCCTGAGCGCTCTCCTCTCCAGCCTCCTGCCATCCTGTGGCTTCATCTCGCACCTGGTCTGCGCCTCAGTTGGCTGGTCATGTCCTCAGCGCAGAGCACCCAGACCCACTGCCTATCCCCACCAGCACCCAAAGGATATTATACACCTCGTAAACCCAGCACTTTGTGGGGACTGAGGCAGGAGGGTTGTTTGAGCCCAGGAGTTCAAGACCAGCCTAGGGCACATAGCAAGATCCCATCTCTACAAAACATAGAAAAATTAGCCAGGCACAGGCACAAGCCTGTAGACCCAGCTACTCAGGAGGCTGAGATGGTAGGACTCGTTGAGTCTAGGAGTTTGAGGATGCAGTGAGCTATGGTTGTGCCACTGTGGGTGACAGAGTGGGACCCTGTCTCTTAAAAAAACTAAGTGATTAAACATTATTTTAAGAAAATTAACATATTTCAAATAAATGACTACTACAAAACATTTCAAATGAATACTACGATTCACCCTGAAGTATTTTTGGTGTACCTTCTATGCAATGTTGGGGTGATGGCCAGGGGTAAAATCATTACAAATATTGAGAATAACTGTAAGAGCATAAGGGCAATAAACATGAGTTACAAGCCCCTCCTTCCTCCCGCCCTCCCTTCCTTCTCACCCTCCCTCCTTCCCTTTCTTCTTTCCTTTCCTCTTTGATCTTTGGATAGGACATAATTGGGAACACATCACTCCTTATTATCTTTGCTCACCTTGCATACATGTGTGAAAAACTGGCATAATTGCACATGTTTGTAAAGTATCGGTTTTAGAATCTGCAGCTTCCAGGTAGACATTTATTACCGAGTCCACACGGCCGTCGTCACCCTCTGTTCCCCTTTCCGCTGCCTCTCTCCCCTGCTCCCGCTAAATGACCAGGGCTTCTGAGAAAGCAGATGAGCAGACAGGAGGAGCAGGGGCAGCCAGACTGGGCTGGAAAGTGTGGCTGTGGCTCAAGGCGGTGCCACAGGCTGTGATTGATGCAAGACTCCTCCAATCAACATGTGAAATCGAGTTTCTCTCTTTAAAACAAAAATAACGTTCCTTCCCTGATCTTTCTCTACCCGAGGGCACCAATCATCAGTGAAAATACAGGTAAGATGCCCTCGTAAAATTCAGGATGGTTCAGCAGTGAGCACCTTTTTCTGCTCATTTAACGCTGAGGAAGCCCAAGGACCTGTGAGTGTCGGACTCTCCTCTCCTCTCCGCTTCTTCTGACTCAGAGTCACCGGAGCAGAGAGACTGGTAGGGTCCATTCCTAACACACATGACCGGTTGACCGGTGACCCCAAAAGCACGGAGCTCTCGGATGACGGATCCTCATCAGTCACCTCCCACCCCCAACGTCCCCAGGGCCAAAGGAGTTTCTGCAGGGACAACCTCTGCAGGCCTTGGTGTCTCGCTACAGCTCAACCCAAAGAGCGAGCCTGTGTTTCAGTAGGGAAGCATCTGTCCGTAGATACTAAAGTAAATGCCGTCCGCCTCATTTCTGCAGCTTGATTTTAACTTTCTAACAGTGAGAAACACCTTTTGGATTTTTATCCAGCTCTTTTCACCTCCCCTGAAACAGTGCTCGCTCTTCAGGACTGACTGTGCCACCGTCTCCCTCCCTCTGCTTCAATCATCTAAGAAGGGAATGCCCCCTGCTTCTGTGACAATTTGTCTTCTAAACGTGTCCCATTAACCTACTTAAATGCCTACCTGTAGCAACACAGGGGAATTTTAGTAAAGGGAGTGCAGGATGCTCCGCTGTTAGCATCTCTATTTTCCACAACACGGAATGTGCTACTATTACAAGGACTGTCCAGCAGCCACGCGGTGTACGTCTCCTCTGCAATCTGCTCATTACAGGATAAGGGAGATGAAGTCCCAGTAGCTTATACTTTCATCTCTTTTAGCTGGTGTCTGGTTGACCAGGTTTCTTTTGAGGAAGCAGGCTCTTGTGCCTCCAGCCCATTTTACACTTAGCACCATGGCGCACAGGGTGTCATTTTAACAGGGATGCATGCCATAACACCCATGATTTGAGAACAGCTGTGTCTCTGTGAGTCTCTGTCCACTGATGTGTGTGACTTTCATATTGCATGCCTTTCGTATCCCTGAAGAAGGAATGTCTTTCTGCCTCTTTTTCCTTAGTCACTTATTAGCTCCATAACAGTTAAACCAAGCTGCCAGGGACATCATAGAAACCAAGCCTCAGATCCTATTAAAACATGGCCAAGATGAGAAATATGGATGCACCCCATTAAAAAAGTGATGTTTCCTGAGTCAGTTAAGACAACCTCACTGATGACCCTGGATCATCTTTGCTCTAATTAACCTTATATTTAGATGTGCTGCTTGATGATACTGTGTGTAAAAATTAAATACAGAACAAAAATTTTAAAGATGTGGATGAAATATATCAAAAATTTGTCCCATCCAGTGTGTTCACAAGATCAACTCTGCCATTTTCAAATGCAGTGCAGGCTCAGCCTAAGGAGGACAGGAGTTAGATCCCTGTCTATTAAAATGTTATTCAAATGCAAACCCTTTGCCGTCAAGAAACAATGTCATGGGCTGGGCGCGGTGGCTCAAGCCTGTAATCCCAGCACTTTGGGAGGCCGAGGCGGGTGGATCACGAGGTCAAGAGATCGAGACCATCCTGGTCAACATGGTGAAACCCTGTCTCTACTAAAAATACAAAAAATTAGCTGGGCATGGTGGTGCATGCCTGTAATCCCAGCTACTCAGGAGGCGGAGGCAGGAGAATTGCCTGAACCCAGGAGGCGGAGGTTGCGGTGAGCCGAGATCGGGCCATTGCACTCCAGCCTGGGTAACAAGAGCGAAACTCCGTCTCAAAAAAAAAAAAAAGAAAAAAGAAAAAAAAAAAGAAACAATGTCATAATAGCTTAGGCACGAGAGCAACTTAGTGGAATTTGGGGCTGGGTCCTTCCACTGTAATGAAGCACAGGTTGAGACCCTTGCCTGACTCTGACTGTCTAGGAGATATTTTGTTGGGGATAGTTTGGTTACTTTCAAACTATTAATATAGACAATGATCTACTAAGAAGCACCTGAGATGCAGCTACTGTGTATAGCATAGACATTCATTTCCACATTCTCTTACATCCATGATGATGTATCACAGAGTTTCAGCACATTACGTCAATCAAATTAGCACCCATAATATTCTGCAGCCAAGGGGACTGGAAGTACAGAAAGGTTAAGAGAGACAGTTGGGAAGATTAGGGAAGAATAACTCACATGGATGGATGGATGGATGGATGGATGGATGTGTGTGTGTGTGTGTGTGTGTGTGTGTGTGTGTGTGTGGAAAGGGAAGGGGAGGGAGGAGAGGAAGCACGGAGGAAGAGAGAGGGAGGAGAAATAAGTTAAAGCCATTTCTAAAAAAATCTAGCTCCCTTCTTTGATGGACAGTTTGCAAAAGCATGCAACTTTTCTTTGCATGATTAGAGGCAGGTGTGACAAAGAAAAGGTAATAGTCCTTTAAAAGTTTTCAAAGGCAAGAGAACAAAGATTTTGTTCTCCAAATAGTTTCCATAAACAGCATTAAATATAAAAGAGTCCTTTGCTTCATACATTTTAATAAATCAAATTCTAGGGAGACAACATATTGCCATACATTGAAACTCATGAGTTTGATTTTCAAGAGAATAATTTCAAAAGCTATGACAAATCTTTAAAATGTCACAGTCCTTGAGCCAAGGCCACTTTACCTTGAAACTTTTCTTTGACGTGGGAATCCAACGAAGCTTAAGTTTTTCTTGTTGAAATCTAAGGGAAAAGAAATGTAATAACATTAAAACAGTTCCATAAAATGTTAAAAATCCAATGAGAAAAAACTCTTCAAACTCCCTTTGAACATACAAGAAAAAGAAAACCATGAATCAGAAAAAAAATACAAATACAAAAATGATGCCTTCTAAGAATCAAATTCCATGTAAATTTACATATGCAAGTTTTTTTCCTCTTCCAGAAAGTAGGCAACTTTACTCCGTGGGTAAAAGTAATGATAACAAAAATAATAACAATAATACTTCTAACACAGTTCAATGTTATTTAAATTTGTCATGGCCACAAAAATAACTCAAAGCAATTAATACTAAATAACACAGCTATATACTCAGGAATAGAGGAGAAATAAGCAATTTTGGTCATGGTAAATAGAAATGTTTGGAATGCCTTTAAAGAATGGGGGTGAGGTCTGAAGAGCAGAAGACAACTCAGCTGTGTCTTTTGCTTTCATTAAAATCTAAACAATAACAATCAATTAAGAAAACCCATTTATTAGTATTTTGAAGACAAGATATATATTATGTAAAGACAGCTGGTAACAATTCTATACAGGAAAAACATATCCCGAGTGAACAGGTTAATCAAAACCAGGCACAGACAAAATTTATAACCAGTCTAATGGCATGTAATCTGTTTTAAAGCCTTTGATATAGAAACCATTTTTTTCACTAAGAAAACCACAAATAGACACTTACAGAAACTTCTTCCCCTAAGGAAATGCCTTTGGCTGTTTTATAGTTAGGGGCAGAAGCCCGAGGAAAAGTAAGTACAAAATATCTCAGATGCTGACAGTTCATTATCCATCAAAATACATCCTCAGTCCTGGAATTTGGAGGTGTGGCCAACTAAATAAATCAACAATAAAATAAAAGGTATAATGCCAGTGAAACATCTAAGCTTTCCTCCTAATTATACAAGTATCTTGTTATGTAATTAACAAAAGAGAAATCAATTCAAAAAGCATCAAGTACTGCAGAAGAAAATTCCTGAATCTGAGGTCTGAATTGTTCAAGTCACTTAACAGTGCATTTGAGCTAGAAACAGTTTTGATGTATAATGGCTGAGTTTCAAATACGTTACTCAAAATAACCTGAGTATTTCATTTTTGTTCAGTCAGTAAACTGAACACGCCATACCACTTCAGTAGTTAAACTGAAAGTGTATCTTTTCCTCTGTGCTGGAAGAAAGCCACTAAAAAGACAGTATCTTGTTCCAAACTGTCTCACACGAAGAGTTAATAAAAAGACACTCACTCACCACTGCCTACTGGAAATAATTTAGTATGTATAGCATTTGATTTAGAAAAATACTTTAACTGAAGTGCAGCACATCTAGAATCTGATCCAAAGTATGGGCATTCCAATTGCATTTGCAATTTTTCCTACATAAAGGTTTTAGTGGTTTAGCGTAACTTTAACTTACTGAGGGAAAAAAATTCACTTATCAGCAATCACAAGATAAGCACATTTATAAACTTAATTAGATATTTAAAATGTCTTTTGAGAAACGTGTATAAGTAACAGGACACCGGAGAATACACAGGGTAAAACAGAGGACCCCCAGCATTCATTATGCCATAAAATCCATACATAAGTGCATTTCATATTTCTCTTGCCTTACCTTGTTTCTCAGAGAATTTGAAAGCTCCCAAATAGCTGGAAAAGCCTGGGCTTCTGAACATGCTGGCACACAGAAGGCTCGGTAGCACAGCCTGCTCTATAGCCAATTCTCAGCCAGCAGCGACCTCCGTCTGGTCTAAGCAAAACTGGGTTGAGATTTTTCACAGTGCAGGACTACAGTGACCAGGCACTTGTGTCTTTGAGCCTCTGTTACGTGAAAAGCAAGAGGCTGCCGGCTGGAAGAGCTCAGACCCCATAATCAGATTATGAACAGAAATTAAGCCCGGAGGCGCTGCAACAGACTGGAGCCCAGTGATGGGACGTGGATGATGTAGATGACCAAGGCAAAGCCAGCGCATCCCAGGATTTGCTTCTGCTAAGCAGACAATGCTGCAACCTAACCATCCTTGGAGGAGTCAAACACAACTTCCTCTCCCTACAAACACACACTCACAAAAGCAAAACCTACAGAGACTCTCGATGTATTGGGAAGAAGGGACGCTTGAGGATTTCCAGGCTGCTCCAAGTCTGGCTTTGGCTAAGTTAAATGAAGTATTTCACCTAACAGAGAGCCAAAAGCCCATATTTAAGATTTATGAACAACATATGAGTGAAACTGTGGGAAAAGAAAGGGCAGATATTACTAGAGATTCAAAAATTTTAATTTGAGGCAGAAGCCATTAAATTAAGCTTTGCCTTTTAGAAGGCCCTGCTGTTTAATTTTAACCACAATACGTAGTTGATGGGCCCAAGCAATGCTCATGCAATTTCAAGAAAAATTCACGAGAATTACAGACTGATCATTTGTACAGAGAAATGGGACATTCAAGAGAACAAAAGGAAATTGTCTCATTTGCAAGCTAAGGAAATAGGGCTAGACAAATAACTTGCTCCTGGATAGACAACTGTTTGGTGATGGAGCTGCAGGATGCTGGAGAGGGGAGATCAAGATTGTGACTCACCACACCCCAACCTGGGAGCAGGGACTCTTGAGTTTGTCTTTGTATCTTTAGTTCTGGACACTGTACCTGGTGCACAGTATGTCTGCAGGAAATGTTTGCTGAATGACCACAGGAAATCACGAAATAATCTCTTCTAAAAGCTAGAAATTCTCCTTCTAAAATGGGTGTGTGGAGTTAGTATCCTGTGATCAAACCAGGTGGACTTAGACTAATTTGTAAAATACAAACACACAGTGAAAATGAAGAATTATATGCTGAATTTATAAAGGCACATAAGGCTGGGCGCAGTGGCTCACACCTGTAATCCCAGCACTTTGAGAGCCCAAGGTAGGCAGATCACAAGGTGAAGAGATTGTAACCATCCTGACCAACATGATGAAACCCTGTCCCTACTAAAAAATACAAAAATTAGCTGGGCATGGTGGTGAACACCTGTAGTCTCAGCTACTCTGCAGGCTGGGGCAGGAGAATTGCTTGAACCTGGGAATCAGAGGTTGCAGTGAGGCAAGATCATACCATGGCACTCCAGCCTGGCTCCTGGTGACAGAGCAAGATTCTGTCTCAAAAAATAAAAAATAAAAGTAAAATAAAGGCACATAAATATAAGGTACATCAACCCTGGGTACTAGAGGGTTCAGTGATAGCATTTGGCATTATTCTCTATAAACTCCTCATTCATTACATTATAGTCATAAAATCAGGAAGAACTATGGCAAATAGGATAGTTAACAAAAACTCAGCAAGAACGGTCAGTACTGTGGATAACTAAAATAGAAACTTGATGGTAAGGTCACAGATAATTAGCAACAAAAAGGAAAAAGGGAGTACTGGGAGGAGAAGAGGAAGGGGAGGGAGTAGTAGAAGCAACTGATTCTGGAAATAAAGAGATAGGACGAACCAGGAATGGTGGCTGATACTTGGCTGAGGCCAAGAGGGAGAATCACCTGAGTTTGGGAGTCTGAGACTGGCCTGGGCAACAATGGTGAGGGCCTGTCTCTACAAAAAATAAAAAATAAGCTGGATTTGGTGGTACATGCCTATAGTCCCAGTTACTTGGGAGGCTGAGGCATGAGGATCGCTTGAGCCCAGGAGGTCGAAGTTGCAGTAAGACATGATCATACCACTGCACTCCAGCCTGCGCAGCAACAGAGTGAGATTCTACATTAAAAAAAAAAAACCCCAAAAAACAAAAACAAAAAAAACAACAGAAGAGATAGGATGAAATGATATATCTGTTGACATGTTGATAAATAATCCTTTATAAAGTACTTAACAGTTTATTAGCCAGGCATGGTGGCTCATGCCTGTAATTCTAGCACTTTGAGAGGCCAAGGCAGGCAGATCATGAGGTCAGGAGTTTGAGACCAGCCTGGTCAATATGGTGAAACGCCACCTCTACCAAAAATACCAAAATTAGCTGGGCATGGTGGCATGTGCCTGTAGTCCCAGCTACTCAGGAGGCTGAGGCAGAAGAATTGTTTGAACCCGGGAGGCCAAGGTTACAGTGAGCCAAGATCACACCACTGCACTCCAGCCTGGGCAACAGAGCAAGACTCCATCTCAAAAAAAAAAAAAAAAAAAAAAAAAAGAATGTAACAGTTTATGGAACACAGTATCACTGCTCATCACCCTTTTTGTGTTTGAAAACTACTCTTCCTATAGAATACTCAATTATAGTTTTCCTAAAAGAATCTAAAAGCTTACTTTGAATGATTATTAGGGAATAATTCTAATTTTTTTTCAAATTTTCCTGTCATTTGCTTTTCCTTTTCTTCTTTTTTATTCCAACATTTATTTTAGATTTAGGGGCATCTGTGCAGGTTTGTTCCATGGGTACATTGAGTGATGCTGAGGTTTGGGGTACAATGGATCCCCTCACCCCCATACTGAGCATAGTACCCAATCACTAGTTTTTCAGTGCATGCCCCCTTCCTATATTTTAGATTTTGAAAATGAAATTTCAGTACAGGATTTTTTTAAAATGTTGCATATTTTCCTTAAGTTGGTAACGGAGTCTTACCACTTGGCCTCACCTATTGATTATAATTAAAGCAAACATTTAAATATGACACAATTGCTGAAAGGAAAAAGCACAACATTCTTTGTAAAATTATGGATATAAAATTTAATCTATTATTTAAGCATCCTATCCATAAGAAACCAAATAAGCCTGTGAAGAAAAATCAACATTTTATACTGATAGAAAATATCTGTAAAAATGTTTTATTTACTCTCCAATAATTATAATTATTAGTATTTTTAATTTTTCCACTTGACATTCAGAAATTATTAAATTATCATTATTGTTATAGGCTAGTTCATTCACACAGGGGAGCTACAAAATACCCAAACATTTCCTCACATCATTCTGTAGGATAACATATTTATTTGCAGAGGA